CAGCAAAGCCTTGCTGTGACATGTGACAGAGCATGTGACAGATGGGAAAGACTTGAAGGTTAATAGTGAATATAGCTTCATGGTTTTGTGTTTATTGTTACATTTTTGCACTTTTTTCCCTGTAATAATTAGATTCATTTCTACAACAAAAGGAACAGACTATTTTAAATTGTTAATACATTCCTCACCAATGTAAGCAACATTGGTTATGTTAAAAGACTTGGTAACAAGAAGAAACAAAAAAACAAACCAAAACAACAACAAAAACCAACCCCGTAAGGAAGTTTAAAAGACATTGATGTGGATGAAGAAGGCACTGAAATCTGCTTAGGGACTTTCTGCCTTGCTGAAGTGTGACATCATGGACAGGGTGGGGACACCCCTCCTCAGCTATGATTAAACACCAGCAATATTGTGGACCCTAAAGATAATATCTAAGGATCTTTCTCAGTAAGAAGCTTATAAGTTGTGAAAATCCAAGGAAAGTTGCATTTGCATTTGAATAGGACAGTACTTCATTGCCTACATGGCTTAAAAAAAAGTTTTCCTGTTTCTATGTTTCAGACTTCATGGAAATGAAATCATATTTTATGCATTCAGTGTTTTGGTTTTTAGCTCAGTATTGTATTGTGCGAAGCACATAAACTTTTATTTAGAGACTCATCTACAGGTGGCAAATCTAAGAAAGCTGAACAAGCAAAAGATCAGCCTAAAGTTGAACATGCTGCTTCTCAGTTGGGGTGGGGAAAGAGACAATGAGGTTCCCAGGAGCGCAGGGCCTGTGGAGTTTAGAAGAGTTCACCAGAAATCTAGTTCTTAAGTGAGGTTTGGAATAATACACAGGCATTCGCTACAGAGATGTATATGTTACATATGGAATTATGTTGCTCTGCATCTATAAATACTTTACAATAAAAACAGGAAACATTTCTTTTGTTCAAAGGTTAAGGAATCTCTTAAAACCTGAATTGATCCATAGAAGAAACTTTGCAGCCTGGGACGCCCTCTAGTGCCCACATTAGAGATCTGCAGTTCATTGTCAGTTTCATTTAAAGGATCCTCTTCTAATTTCACTCCCTTAAAGCAGGTCCCCAGCAAGATAAATATAGCATACTTTCAACCTTTTTAAGTGAAATACTGTGTTTTCATACCACATTTTTAAATCCTTCAAGTTATTTTTCAGTCTCTTTGATGGATGACCCAAAAGAAAGTTTGATTTTTTAATAAGAATGTGTCACAAAACATTTCAGAATTTAAGTATATACTTCAATAAAAAGAAATATTTACATTTTATACCTGGTGGACATTTTAAAATTGGTTTTACCCTTATATTATTTTTTCACGTTTTTAGAATTTTTGTTTAATTGCAACAATTTTCTTGCAGAATTTAGGGAAGAGTCATACACCTGACTCCTTCCACAGCCTTCAAGTGGTGTCATGTAAAAGTGACTTCTATATAGTCCTGATTCCAAACAAAGCCGATGTTTCTGTGAGTTATCTGTCCACCAAGATTCTTATGTTGTTGTGGGCAAATTCTTTTTATATTTATATCCTTTTAATATTTATTAAATATTAATAATACTAAACATTATATTTAATATTATATTACCACAGTTCTTAGCTTTAGTGCCTGGAATATTTATAAACTTACTTTTGTTATTAATGATCTGTTAGGCAGAATATGTGTGTGTGTGTGTGTGTGTCTGTCTGTCTGTTTGTCTGTGAGTATGTTTTGCTGGAAATGGAAGAGATGGAACCCAGTGCCTTCCAAGTGCAAAGTAAGCACTCTGTTCTTGAGATGTACCCCAACCTTAGAGAGACATGCTTAAATTCTTTGATGAGATTATTTACATAAATATATTAAAGTCAAATAATTGTTTTGAGAGATGTTTTATAGGTTGAAAGAGTAGTGTAGTCAAAAGAATCAGGTAAAGTAAATAAACAGAAAAATTCAAAATTATAATAAGGGATAGTGTTGTATTTAACAAACAATAGACTATGTCAAAAAGTGAGGTAGAGGCTCAGTGGTTAAGAGTACCAGCTACTCTTGCAGAAGACCTGGGTTTGATTCCCAGCACCCACATGATGGCTTACATCCACCTGTAAGTCCAGTTCCAGGGGATTCAATGCCCTCTTTTGAATGCCCTGGGCATTGCATGACACAGGTACACTCACAAACATGCAGGCAACACACACATCAAATTTAAGAAAAAAAATTTCTTAAAATGAGCAGATAAGAATTTTATCTATGTTGTCTTATGGGCATAACATACTTTTAAAAAATTTATTTATAATTTTTTATTTTATTCGTGTGTATGCATGTATTGCCTGCATGTAGGTAAGTTCACCCATGTCATGCAATGCCCATGTAGGGCAGAAGAGGCCATTGGATCCTCTGGAACTGGAGTTATGGACAGTTGTTAGCTGCCATGTGGGTGCTGGGATTCAAACCTCGGTTTTCTGCGAGAACAGCCATTGTTCTTAACCGCTGAGCCTTCTCTCCAGCCCAGGCATAACATATTTTTAAGAGATAAAATTAATTAATTAATTAATTATCATTTAAAATGCTATGGCAATTCATGCTATGATATTGCATGAAGTCCTTGATAAGATCTGTCAATCATTACAGAAACAGATGTGAGAATGTCTCTGCTATTTGGCAACTTAGTGGCATGGAAGAAAAAGAATGTTTATGTGTTTATATATGCTATGTACTTTATGATAGACATTAACAGTAAATGTTTATAACATTTATTATAGCGGCAACCCTGGATACTCAGTAGTCCAACTTATTTTTAACTTTATAATAATGATGTAAAAGTGGAAGTGGTATGCGCTCAATAGAAAGCATATTCTGAGTCTGAATGTGAATCTTTTCCTTGCTTACCTCCATATGATCAATTCTCCTTTGAAGCACTAGGATGAAGAAAAGAACTCTGGGTCAGCCCCAGGATCCCAAGTGAGCAACCCCAACCAACATGTATCATGTTGCTAAGTGAGAATAGTCAATAGGGTAGACATGCTCAATGCAAATTTTACTTAGGATGGAGGTGTCCAATCTTAAGTCAAAGAGGGTCTGACTGAATATATACATTCTATGACCCAGATTCTTCAACTGGATCATGATTATGTATGGGGTTATATAATTTAATGTGGGGTGGGGAGGTCTCAAAAGATTTGGCAACAATTAAAGGTTTCTTAATGGACAACAACCCCAAATTTCTCCTAAAATCAAACATGATATGAATCTAAGGTGTTTCTGGCTGTGCTCACCTGTGTCACATTGTTTGACACACAACACAAGCACTTTGCGCTGCATGTGCCATCACACCATGCAATGTCAGCACTGCAGATTTGAGACTGTGCATGCTATGAACTGCAGTGGATTACTTAAGTACAAAGTTTTCTGCTTTAATAGAAACAGTATGATTCAGTTGTGGAACATAAACTTTTGATATTTTCCTAAATCATTCTAGTATGTAAATATCAAATTAGTATAACTTTGGATTGTATTTTGTTAGAATATTTGATTCTTTAAGATTTACTTTTATTTGTGTGTGTGTGTGTGTGTGTGTGTGTGTGTACTGGAGGAGGCCAGCAGAGGGTCTGAGTCCTCTGGAACTAGAGCAATAGGGTTGTCAGCTGCCCAGCACTGGTACTGGAAAACAAACTTGGGTCTTTGTTGAATAGCAGTTTCTTCTAAACTGTCTTTCTTGGAGGATAAAACATTCCATCCTGCAAGGAAGCTCCTTAGATACAGGATATTAAAAAGGAGATGAAGCAAAAGGATGTTCTGTAAGGACTGAAACATTCTGTCTGCCTGGAAGATCATTAAGCTCAGAAAGTAAAACAAACAAACAAAAAAACAAAACAAAAAATAAAACATGATTTTAGGAAGTCCCTGAAACTGACCAGATTCATTAGGCCCCTCCCTCACCAAGCCTAAACAAACAGCAAAGACTGCTGAGAGACAGCTCAGACCAGGAGCTTCCTGGAAGAAGCAGACAAATTAAGATGCCAGGAAATAGCAGAGACCAGGGGCTCACCCTGGAAGAGGCTCTGACCATCTGTGCTGCCTGCAGGACACTCTCCAACCTGTTGAGCTACCAGCGAAGTGTGCAGTGTGCTCCAGGAGTCCAGCTTCTGTAAGCTGTCACCCACACTGGCTTTGTTGATCCAGCTGTCATTGAGTCGTTTCTACTCCTGCAAATAACCCCTCACCCACATTCCTGTAAGTAACCTCAATAAAACTCGTTGGTTCATCAAGTTAGACTCTGTTGGTATCCTTACTTTGGTCTGTCATATTTTATACTCTGTATTTATATAAAGTGGTGTTCTCAGCATTGATAATTATAAATTCAAGATATTGATCAACTCTGGCAAACATTGATCATTCTCTCATCTGGAAATATCAAATACTAAGCCAGGATTTAATTCTTTATATAAAATCACACAAAGTTTAAGAAACATTGCTCTATAAAGAAAGATGGTGGTAATAAGTCCCATATACTAAGGGTTGATACTATCCATGTCTTTTCTTTCCATGTCTGAGGTTAGATGCACCCATCTCACCTCCATTACCGTCTTGCCACTAGCCACAAACACTAACTCCCACCAGGGCTTCTGGCCAGCAGTGGCCACTTCCCAGCCCCATTTCTGGAAAGCAGTATCCTAATGCTGAAAGACCAGAGCTTTCCAGTGTAAATAACTGTCAATCACTCAGCCTGCTGTACTAAGCCTGTTGGTCCCTGGTGGCATTTTGCATCACAGGTTTTAGATGAAGACACTGAAGTCACAGTAATAGATTTGCTCAAGGAACCCCCCAGGTGAGTCCCCAAACTAATATTTTTGAGGTGATGAACTACATTTCTTTCAGGAAATAGTGTCTTTCTTCACAAGCTATGGCCAATAATAGGCCAGGCCAAATTCTCCCTGCATTTGTAATCCCCTCACCAAGTTCCATCTTTAATTACAGTGAAATAACTGTAAATGCCACTCACCGACTTGTATTTGTATAGTGCAGTTTAGAGTGCCGAGGCTTGGCTGTGGATGTCCTGTCTCCAAAGGGGTTGTCCACATTGTCAGCATTTGTACTTTGTACATGACCACTGTTACAGTGAAAAGAAAAGTTATAAGAAAGTTAGAAGAAATAGTTGATCAATATCCCAGTTCCTAAAGGAAATTTTATTTTTCAAAATAGACCAAAATCTCAAGAAGAAAGAAAGAAAATGACATGAGATACAAAACAACAGTGGTGAAGCTTTTCTTCTTCAGAGCATGAGGCATCTTCTCTGGCATCTGAAACTGGTTTGGGAGTGACAAGAGCAGTGGTTCTGGGTTTCAGAGCACATAACTGGCCATAGGACTTGGAAGGAGGCCATAGCAGGGGAGGTTGGTATCTGCCAGAGATAGTAAAGTTCTTGTGGAGACAGGAGTCTGGGAAGGCACCAGGAACCCAGGCCACAGAGCTGAGCTGCTGGAGAAGATCTGGAGGTTGACTCACATCAGCCAGCCAGTGTGCCAAGGACTCTGGGGTCTCCGGTAGACGCACTAGTCAGCTCTATTGCAGAGCAGTAATGAGGAGGCACAGACTAATGGCCTGGGTCCTCCTCATGTCCTCCCATCTCCTTCATCTCAAGGTGATGCTTCAGACTGAAGAAGAAAAACAGGAAGATCCCCAAAGTCAGACAATGCACTTTTGTGATTCTCAGAGAACGAGATTTAAATGCTGGAAAGAAGGCTTCTTACTTCCTGTGCTCAGTATTGTGAGCATAGCAAACTTCCCCATCTATCACCAAACGTTTTCCTGACTGACAGCCTAGCTGTAGCAACAAAGATATTTTACTTGATATCCTATTTAGAAAAACAGAAAATGTATCACTCCTCATTTTTTTAATCAATCAAAATCTTTACTACATTTTTGATGGCACTCCTAGCAGTAAACAGGCACTGGGCCAGCAGCATATTGGAATATGTTAGGACATGACAAAAGAGTGAACTGAAAACATAGGACACTGAATGGAGCCACAGATTGGAGTTAAATACAGTATATTTAAAGCAATGAGAAACAGTACTTATGTATAGAGAGGAATGTATTTACTTCTAAAACTGGGAGTCATACTTCAAAAAAGAAAAAAAGGGCAACTGGGTTATTCATGTTTTCAGTAAATATCGAATTATAACATTTCTCAAATTAAAAGATCTTCAGAGATAACAGAAATTGGCCTCCAAGTTTGTTTTGGAAATAATTAAAAGATGTGATTTTGCCTTTTCTAGAATACTAAATAATGGAGCTATGTGATAAATGACTCTTTGAGTGTGTCTCCTTTTACTGCCCCAAAATATTTATGAGTTGTTTCTATCTAGTCATAGTGGCTTCTATCTGTGATGCTAGTACTTGGCAAGCTAAAGCAGGAGGGTGTTGAGTTGGACGTCATTCTGAGCTGTGAAGCAAGACTGTCTCCAAAATAGTTGTTCCTGTTTCTGTGTGTTGATTTGGTTCTTTTTCATTGCTGTGTAGCACTTCATTTCTTTTTAATATACTAGTATGCCTTTCTCTTCACCTACTGAAGGCCATTTTTGTTGTTCCTAGATTTTAGAAATTGTGACTAAGTCTATTATAAGCATTTATATATAGGTTTTTGTGTAAGCTCCTGGAAGAAAATTCCCATAGCCTTAAGGTGAATAACACCGTCCTGAGGAGCTGCATGAAATGGCATTACTGACTAAAACACAAAGTTTTCAATTGCCATCTCATTTAACACACAAACTCCTCAAAAACAGCAAGTGAGTGAGTCCATAAAAACTGGAATAAGTATTTATCAGCTGGGCAAGGGCTCTTCTACTACACTGTATGGAAAAAATGCCGTAAAGTATTTTAATGAACATTCACATATTAAGAAGTAGTATTAAGGGGACTGGAGACATGGCTCAGTAGTTAAGAGTCAACTGTGGTTGGGTTGCCAGCACCCACAACAGCTCCAAGGGATCCAACACCCTCTTCTGGCCCCCCAAGGGCACTGCACCCAAGTGGTGTAGTTATATTTCTATGCAAGCAAAACATCCATATGCATAAAATAAAAAACCTTTAATAAAATGAATTAGTACTAAGTTGAGTTCATTGGTTTAGGAACATAATTCAAGTAACTGGAGGCTGAGTCAGGAGGATTGTGAGTTGGAGGCTAGGCTGGGCTAAATAGTAAGACTCTGTCTCAGAAACAAACAAAATCCAAAATTAAAAACCCAATTACATATTTTACAAAAACAATATTTGAGTGGATTAGCAACAATTCTAGTCTGTTATATACATGAGAGCCTTAAAGTTTTGAATATTCAAATCTTAAATTATCAGTCAATTTTTATATTCAAATCTATATTGAGGTGTTATCACACATTTGACATTTTAAGTAATAATTGTGAAGTCTTGCTATCATTTTTTATAATTTTT